TGCGTGGCAAAGGAAGGCGCGGCTCCTTCAGCACGCCTCGGGAAACGCGAGCGCGTCCGTCCTTTGTGTTTGCTAAAACAAGCTCGTTTTACGGTGTGTGTGTATTTATCTTTTCCAATTACACAACCTCACCAAAAACACAGGCTTTTCAGTCCGAAATAAACTCACAAGGATGAAAACATTTAAGCTCAAATTCATAAAGCGAAGCACTTGCGAGTACAAAGTAACTGTTGCTGCTTACAGCTCGCTTACCATTCCCTGCAGTTAGCACGACACAGGTGGCAGGTACCCCCAGCGCCGGGGGCAGCTGTGCCGTGTTAGGGGGCAGAGCTCCCTCCCACTTCTCGCACCCGCTGCCAGGCCCCGGCTGGGAGCTGCCGGCTGGGGGGACCAGCGCCCCAGGGCCTGGAACGACCTCGCTACAGATCTGACAGGAGCAGTGCTGCAGGGTGTTACAGAGTTGTTAGCTAGTGCTGCGGAACTTCCCTATCCATACCTAAAGCTGCAGTGACATATCACCCGCAGAAAAAGGTGTAGCTATTTTTTTCTGATTCATCGTGAATTAAGGATTGGTGTAGACCATTTTCTGTTTATTAGGGAATGAGCTGTTCTAGTGCTTTCCAACTATAAGAGGATACATGATAGAAATTTCTGCCTAGCAAAATTAATCTAAGGTTGCAAGATAAATCAAATTGTATGTGTGTGATCTAAAGTATTCAAATAAGTAAAATTTTGTGATTATAAAGGCTTTTGATCACATGCATGCGTCCAAAAAAAGAAAGATAAAGTCAGTATCGGACAAGTCACTATTTGCTTGACACTGGAAACTTACAAAGAGCATGAGGTAATGCAGTACAGAGGCTTCTGGCAATTCATTCAAGTTATCTTACTGGGGTTGCTAGATCATTTCAATGTACTTGACACGGACCAAGAGAGACCAGGCCTCAAGCGAGGGAAACTAGTAAGGTGTATTTTTTTCATTCGGAGCTAACAGTACAGAGATGTCATCTGTTTTATAAATGTGAATTAATTGTGAGAGATTGCCGTTGAGGTTTCCTAGAAAGCAAGGAGAGCTGTCTGATGGGGATGACAGAACAGCAGCTGAGGCTGAAAGCATGCGGCTTTGTGAACCAGACTCCTTCCTCAGCCATTTTCTGTAGTTTTTCCATAAGTTGAGTTAAAATGCTGTGAACAGCTGTCAGAGGTGGACGCAGTTAGGTTAAATGTTTGAGATACACAGACCCTTGCAAGTCATACAGGTACCGTGGAACTGGGATAGAGGAAGCGGAAACTCTACCTGCCTCTACTTTTAAAAGATCGACCAAAGTAACCGATGTGTATCGGTCAGTGTGCTGTCTCAGCCTTAACACATAGCTGATAAAGACCTGGAAATTGAGAGCCTGAATGTTGGCCTATACAGGTGTCTCACTTCTGCCTTGTAAAACAAGTCAATAGAATAAGATGAATTTTAGAAAAAAACTAAACCTATAGGGGCCCAGGCAGAAGCATGTGGCATTTCTGTGTTGCTGGAATTGCAGTATCAGCCAGTTCTCTTATTTCCCTAGTTCTGATTAATTTACAACAAAACTATACAATGTACCGTAATAAACCCAAAATGCACCTAATTCATCTAAAGAAATATGTTAGTCGAGAGAGGATTTTGTCCCTTCTGGTTTGATTCTCAGCTTCACAAAATCTCAAGTCTTTAACATCCTGAGGAATTACTCTTTCAGCAGAAGCGAAATGAATTATGCGTCAATGAACAATTGGGTTATCAAGGTTGTTCACTTAATGTTCCAGCTGTTCTATAGCACCATCTTAACGTTTATTGGAGATTTCTTTTGAATTTAGTCTTATTTCATGGTACTTACAAATAAACGCATTGTGTTTCTTACAGCTGCTGTGCCAGTAAGTAGCAAATACAAGTGCATAATGAATTTCTTGCCTTTTACTGCTGGAACTAGAAATGACAGAGGGTGGAGGCTTCATTCAAAGGAGATCCATTAATGTAATAATAGTGAAGCCAGAGATTAAAGCTGATAGGATTTGTGGGGAGTTTGTACAGCACTTAACTACATTAACACTGTTATTTGCTCCTTGCCCTCATAAGTGCTAAAACTTAGATGCACTCAGAGTTCACAGGAAACAAGCAAATACAGTACTGGCCACTGCTGCTTTGCCCGTGTCCAGCTGTCCTGCAAGCAGATGGACATCGCCCTGTTCTGGAAGAGGTACCAGACTGGAACGCTGTAGAGCTGCTGCTCAACAGGGAGACTATTTCTCTGCAACATCAACGACCTGGATTTTGGTAAGTACAGTTTTATTCATCACAATCTCTCACTGAAAGCACTTACACTTTGAAATGAGTGCTTCCTAAGGCATAAACAGGCTGACTTCTGTTAACATTAACACTTTTAAGCTCTGCACTCCTTTAAATTTGAGGCAGTTTGAAGCGCACAATCAGGAAGAGAGGATGGTCTGGGAGTTCAGGCCATGCTTGGGAGAGCACTGTTTGGGGCCTTCCTGCATGCACCAGCACATGATCACAAGAAAGCCCACTGGGTTTCAGTCCACAGAGATAATGGGACATCCTTTTGCTTTCAGAATACCAAATACTTTTATTTGCTTGACCTTTATTTGGTTTTTTGTCTTCCCCTCCTTCTCCCCCCCAGCAAACATAGATAATGCCATTTCGGTGCCTCACAGAGAGTAATTTTTTTTTTATATCTTTTTTTGCTGCAGGTGAGACAAGAAGCTTCAGGGTTCAAGTTTTCTGATCTCCTGTACTTATAGAGAAAGGTTGAAAGCCGCTGTATCTCACCTCCCCACTATTCAACAGCCTCTCAAGGGCTCGGGAAGGGCAGTTGTGGACCAAGGACAATGGTATTTCCAGCCCCACAGCTTGGGAGGTTTCACCTTCCTGCAAGGAAGGCAGACAGGCCAGGAATTGGGAGGTTCTAGTTCTGCTCCTCTTGGAAATTTCTTCAAACAAAACACATTGTGGTTTTTTTTTTTCCTGAAACCTAGACCTATGCTTGACAGTGAAGTACTAGCTAATAGGCCATGGCTA